ATAATATAATATAAAATTCTTAGAAATCAGAGCTACTTTGAGATAGGGACTATGTGATACCATGCAGAATAACTTCCTCTGCAACATTCAAGAGCTGAAGAAACGTGATGCCCATGCCCCAGTAATGCAAACTGGCACAACTCCTCTGCTTTCTGTTAAGGACCACAGGAGCACTCAGCACACAGTGACCAAGTCACTCCTCATTTTTTTTTCCTCTTGCCCATGGACTGCACTAATCTATCTGTGACCTGCATACTTCTTCCTTTGTGTCTTTCAGGTGTGGAATGAGAAAGCTGCCAAAAATGCTCAGAAATGGGCAAATAAGTGTGAGATGAAAATCAGTCCAAGAGATCAGAGAGTTATCAATGGTACGTGACAAACGTGGAGCCTAAGCTGATGGTTTAATGACAATTTGCAGACCCCTGTGCATGTGAAAAAGGAAATAAGGATAACATTTAATCTGCTGTAGGATATCTTTTGAGGATCATTAAGCACAAAAACATCAGCTTTGCCAGATAAATATCCTGAAAGACAGATTGTTGGAACTTGAGAGAGAGGGATGCTACTTACTTGCCTTATCTTTGTATCTTTCTGTAAGTGTCCACTTTTGGCTCCTGCTGGAGACAAGACAGTGCAATTGATGACTGTTGGTATGACTAAGTACAGACATTTTTGTGTAATGTTTTGTAGTCAAATAAGAGTCAGAATAACACTTCCTGCAGCCTTCATAGAATCAGGTGTACTGCCCTCTTACTAAAATCCCAGGGCAAAACATTTTCTATTGTAGAGATTTTTTTTACTTAGGAGAGAAGCAAACTGTAGGGTGGGAGGTATGACAGAGGGGTTGTAGTTGCATTCTAAAAAAAATCTCTCCTTCAGGTGTCACCTGTGGTGAGAATGTATTGCTATCATCTTACCCAAGAACATGGGCTGAAGCAATTCAAGTCTGGAACAGCCAGTCCTCCAATTTCAAGTATGGATATGGAGCAACCACGAAAAATGTCAATATCGAGAGCTATACGCAGGTATGGAGAACTGAAACAAATTGCAGTGATACGCTAGAATTACAGGAGTACACTTAAGGGAGCTGGGAGATATTTATTATCAGAAAAAAAAAATCACTTTCATCAAACCATCACCTGTCACCCACACTCTGATCCAAAGGTGAAGAATAAATTAGAACTCTTTTTCAACTAATTCTCAGGCAATGGAACTAGTATTTTGGAAGAGCTGCTCAAAAGAGCGATATTATTCTGTAGGAAAATAAAAAATCAATACCTTTAATTTAGAAATAAATATTTTCTATATAGGGATTGAAATACCTGATTAAGAAATGTCAAAGCAAAATAGCTATGGTGAAAATATTTGAATTTAAACTTTAGTGCCCTGCCAGAAGCTGTGTTCAAAAACATTCCAAAGCTAGAGGATGTGGTTAACTGATTTTTTTATTTATTTTTTTCTGACAGCTAAACTGTAAATTTAAAAGTTAAATAGACAAAACAAAACAAAGCAAAAAAATTATCTTCCTGTTCTGTTATTTAGTGAACTGTTTGATGGGAATTCAATAAAACACGACTCTGAAATAACATATTTCTTTTTTGTTCTACAGCTAATCTGGTACAACAGCCACCAGGTCGGATGTGCAGTTGCCTACTGTCCTAGGAACCAGTTCAATTACTTTTATGTTTGCCAATACTGTCCTCCGTACGTACTGCCTTTTAATTCATTTAAGATGTGACAATCCTGGATATGTTTTCAAAAACTCCTGTGGTCTATTGGTCATGTGTAGGATAAAATGATTACAGTTTATTTTAACCATTTATAATTTTGAAAATGCCAATGGGAATTGTGGGTTTAACATCAGGTTAAATAGTAATATTTATCTTATTTCACATTGAAAGAGATATTAGGGAAATTTTAGCATATGAACAAAAAAGGTCTAAATCTGCCAGAATAGGGTGTCATGCACAAGTCATCCTATAACCTTGACCACAAACAAGACAGTCAGATGTAAAGTGAAAGCCTACAGCAAATAAATATTCACAGACATAAAGGGCACATCTGAAACAGCTGCATGTCAGAAGGCAGCTGCTCAGGTTATTTCCTTATAAACCACAATCACTTGAAAGGCGTTAGAAAAGCAAAACTGGGAAGCATTTGATATTTTTTAACTAATAATGCTATACAAATACAAATAATCAACTAATTTTCTTTCCTTAAACCTTATTGCCCCTGCTATTTAAAATCAAATTTCTTGTAGTCTATGAATATCTGAAACTGAAACATGACTGTCTATAAAAATAATTTTATGCAAAGCTTCTGGATGCCTTTCATTGTGATAAATAACATAAACTCCTGTTCACGACTCAGAGCTGCACTTTGACCTTGTTTTGTGTTTTATTTCTTTCTAATTTCAGAGGAAATAACGCAATGCAAGTAGCTGCACCTTACAGAACTGGACCAAAATGTGCAGACTGTCCCGGCCACTGTGAGAGAGGGCTTTGCAGTAAGTGGATGTAGTCTCTGTACAAAAAAAAAAAAAAAAAAAAAAAAAAAAAGTAATTACTTCAGATGACAATAATGTTGTTCCTTTGTAGAATTCTACTTTTTCATACTTACTTCTTGCTAATTGGGAGGAAAGATCCTAGAACTGCCCAGAAATAACAATAGTTAAATATCCCACCAGAACAGGCACAATCTCGAGCAGCAGGGTTGGACCAGATGACCTCCAGAGGTCCAACCATCTTGTGATAACCTCAACCATCCCATGATAACCTCAACCGTCCTGTGATAACAGGTCAATTGTGTTGCTGTTGAATGTTATCACACATTATCTTCTGCTGACCTCTTCTGGAAAGCTCAAGAGAGATGATGAGGTGTCTTGATGTACATCTACATCTAAGGGCACAAACAAATTTTCAGGCTTCACGCATTCGTATGTACGTGGAGATCTGCCCAGGCCCTGGGTTCTTCAGGCTTCCATGTGGAGCAAGTCACAGTGTACAAACAGATGGGAACTGTAAGATACCACCTTTCTGCTTGCATTCCCTTTTCTATAAATTCAAGTAATTTTAACAGCAGAGCAAAAGTGTAAAATCTATACAGACATGAAAATCCAGCACTTTTGGAAAATGCAGAAGGATCAGACCAGGACTTGGTTTTCAATGACTATTTCACGTTTTTGTTTCTGTCTCTTGTATTTTAGCCAATCCTTGCAAGCATCAGGATTTCTTTGGAAACTGCAGAAATCTGAAGATGTTGTTTGGCTGTGGCCATCCACTGGTGAGGGAGAAGTGTCCTGCCAGTTGCAGATGCACCACTCAAATCATATAATGTCCTAGTAGATGTCATTCTAGCTGCTGTGAGACTTACTTATGAGGAAAGAGTAGAATTTGCTGTGAAGTGTATTCACACTCAGTGCATCAGCTCAGTCTGACCTATAGGTAACATTTTTTCTGAAATCTCACAGTTATTTCAGTCCTAAATAAGCCTAGTAGCTCAACCAACCTCTGATGTTATTTTAGACTTTGTAAAAATCATGCTTAAGCTACTAATGTGTTACTTCGTGGTTTTCTTTGCAGTGGATCGTCCACTGATTCATTTCTTTTTAATGGGAAATACACTTTTTAAAACACTTTAGGTTTTTTTGCAAAATATGTTAAATTCCACTTAACTTTCTTCTGTTACCTTTCCTTTGATTAGAAATGGAATGTATTCCTGCTAAATAAATACATGATTTACCACCAGTTCATGAACAGAGTTTTTCGTTGAAGCTATTCATAGCACAATTTTTTCATTTGGAAAATTCCTTATGGTTATTTCAAGAGTCTGAAACTATATGTGGCTGGGGATGAAACTGGAAAAGAAAGAAAAAGCAAGAAAGTGATGCATTCTTTTTGTACAGCCTAAATAAGAGGCACACACTGAATCTGCCAAACTTTACCCTGTAGCCTATACACAAAGCTTCTGATACATCTGTGTATGCAGGTGATAAATGATTTAATATTTTTTTTTTCATACGGCAACACCAGTCAGGGAATAGGAAGCTTTTTAAAACCATTCATACAAAGAAAAAGGTAACTATATCCCTTCCCATCCTCTCTAAGAGTAAGTCTCCTACATTCTTGGGATTAATATTACAGTACATAGGAAAAAAATATATGGCTACAAAAAAACCCAAAACAAAACAAAACAAAAAAACCCCAACCAAACAAAAAAAAACCAAAAAAAACCCCCAAAAAACCCAAAAAAACCAAACAAACAAACAAAAAAACCAAAACCCACACACCAAAAATGCAGTGGACCCAAATCCTCAAAAATCCCCATCAAAATATCTGATTTTCTCCAAAACTTCCCAGGAACCATCCTAGTTCCAATTCCTAGCAGTCCACACCATGGCAGGGGGTTGGAACACGATGATCCTGAAGGTCCCTTCCAACCCAAACCTTTCTGTGATTCTGTGATGCAGTGCCATTTGTGTTTATGTGTCACTTCTTGTGATGTGTTTCCTTGAGTAAGGTTTTTAATTTCACGTCTTTCCACGCCCTTTACAATGCAGGGCATGATTTCAAAGGACCATGTATCTGTACTGACCCAGAAATGAGGACTTAGATTTGTTACCTGCCAGTGGCATTGGTTACCTGGAGAAATCTTTTGACCTATTTAGCAAGGGGCGTTACCATCATCATGCCTCTGACTGAAAATATCATTATATTGACAAAACAGTCGTTAGGAATCATCTAACAGCTTTTTTATTTCTAAAAAGAAATAGAATTTTTTTTTAATTTATATTTATAGATTTCATCTCATCTTTATATTTCTAACTTTAATAAAAAAGGTAGCTACAGAAGCTCTTTATGCTGACAGTTTATAAACTTTGATAGATGTCAAAAAGCAAACAGACATCTGGAACAGCAGCTTCTCACTGAACAGAAGGTCCTTCCTCCTAACCTTCCTGCCACTGCTCCCAAGCCCTGTGGAGCAAGCCCTACACAGCGGGCAGGATGCACCAGGGTGTCCCACTGGACCACCAGCTGCTCCTCAGGATGGTCTCCCATAGGTCTTGAGTCACATACACCAGCCCCGAGCAGGACTGGATCCCACTTACCACCTTCCTTCTCTATTTCAGACCAGCAAAATTCTGTTTTCCATTGGACTGCAATTCTGGTTAAAAACACAAGAGGGTGAACCATACCCAGATATTCAGCTGCATCAGTTTTCATTTTGCTACCTGTACGAAGTGCTGCTGCTTTTACTAGAAACTGAAACTGTTTTAAATGTTTTTAACACATGCCTGCATGTAATTTCTTAGCTAAAACTGGTTTAATAAATAATTACTACATATAGAAACAGTTTGGTAGCGGTTTCTTCCCCTGCATTGTTTCGTCCTCTCTCTGTTGGCCAAATTGCTACCATATAAAACCAATTTATACTATCAAATTAAGACATATTTATATTCCATTTTATCAATGACTAATTGTGGTAGCCCTGATTTTCTACCTGCCTGAAGCTCAGTCTCAGCATCATTAATATACGTCACAATTTAAGATTCCTACAACCACAGTGGTATTTGTAGAAAGTATAATTCAAAGCAAAGCTGGGTGAAAATTTCCTGCGAAACCTATGTTTTCATCAGAAAATACAGTTTCTATAAAACTCCGATTCTCTTATAGGACGATACATAATTTTGACAAAACTCTAAAGTGTTTTCTGGGATACTTTCCAAGAAAAACGTGTTAAAACTCATTCCACGCACACAGTTTCTTTTTCCCCTCTCTCTCTGGCCCAATGAATATTTCAAGAGGAACGATTTTGTTATCAGAAATTTCTGAGACAGCTCCCTCCCCAAAGAGCCGGCTTCTGTGCTGTGGATATCCAGCTATGGTGTTTGAGCACAGCAGCAGTAGGAGCTGCAAGAGATCTTCTGCATCATGAAGTACCACCCTGGAGCATCATGCATCCTGCTGGGCTACTGCAGGGTATCCATACATTAGTCTTCAGCTTTCATAGGGGATTTCAAAAGATTCTGTTTCCCTGCTGATGTGGAATAGAAGAAATAGCAGGTGAGATGATATACTACCTGGAGGATCCTGTTTCTAAGTACAAACTCCAAGGAGAGTTTGGGTTGCTCCACTTAGTTGTCCATGTCCCTGGAAAGGCAAGAGTGCTTCTGGATATGAATTTCCCATATGCAGAATGTCCCAGTATGACATTCACTGAGATCCAGCACGTCAAATAACATTTTTCTCCATTCTCCGACTGTATTTTCACAAACTTTTTTTTATACCGATGCCCTGCAAGTTGTTTCCTTTGTGGCACTAGCATATGGGTTTTTTTTTATGTGCTGAAGTTACAATTACAGAACTGTGTTACTTTTTACAGGGGAGAAACTAACAACACTGACCATTTCTTACAATTTCAATTCTGGTTGCAGATATACTCACAAGAAGCACATATGCTGGGAGATGATAAGAGCACCTACTACGGTACAAGTCTAAGAGTTATCTGTGGGGAATGATGTAAGAGCTCTTAAGCAGTTAACTTACTATGACAAGGACTTCAAACACAGAGTTTTGGAAAAATGTCATAAAGTAACTTTAACAGTCCTATGGTTTGGGAAGAAAGAACATGTTTTATATTTCAAATACGCCAACTGCAGTACCCACGTTATCTAATTTAGCTGTGTGAGAATCAGCCTCTGGGCTAAGCAAAATGAAAAGTCTTTCACTTTCAGTATCACAAAGTCTTGCTGCGAGTCATGCACCTAAATCTTCCCTGTTTTTCTCTATCTATTGGTATGATAGAAAGAAAAACTCTTCCATAAACCTTACCTCACTCTTGTCCTTAACATATAACATCTACAATAGCAGCAGGTCAAGCAGGTAAAGCTAAGACTTTGTCCTAAATGGAAAGCAAGGGTTGGAAACCTTGACATGCCGTTAGAAATCTGCATTGGCAGAATATCCAATTAATGCGCAAGAAACAAAACTGTAGCAGGATGCTTGAGCAAGACCAAGCAACAAAGGGCTATCACAGCCTGGCTGGACAGGACGAGGATGTTCCCCACCCCTGGGCTGCTCCCACCTCTTCTAGGCCAGGCTGCCAAACTGTATTCCTCTAGAGCATAAGGGTCACAGTTAAACTGTGAAAAACAGGAGATGGACTTTCTCATTAAGAAGCTACTTGACAGCTACTGTCTCCACTCCGGGCTCCAAGCGAGACGCTTAACCTCCATGGTTCAGTCTCACCGACTGCAACGCAGAGATAAACCGACATAGTCAGGGCAAGGCAGATTAATTAGTCAATGTTGAGAAAGAGCCTATGAAGCACTAAGACCTCTTAATTATACTATCACATGCAGAAGCCACACCTCCAGCACAATTATATCTCAGTTTAACCACAAGTCAAGGGGACATGGGGCACCAGGAGATACAAGTGAGGAAACGACACTCCCTCCTGCGCTGACCCGTCGGTAACGTCGAAAGGTTCATGGGATGGTCACTGGGCTCAGTCGTCTGGTCTTGGGTCTGCGCAATGAAGCCATGGGGCTGTTTCCTAGGACTAACAAAGATACAGTGACACCCCCATCAACAACAAGTCTTGAAGAAAGGCAATTTTTAGGAAAAGTTGAGGTAGCAGATTGGTATGGAAATATTGTTGCATACATTAAGGAAATCACCTATGTTAACTATTCATTCTGTTAGCATGGGCAATCCAGTATTCAACACATGTATAAGTGAAAATGGCTCTTTAAAATGCTTAGCATAAAAATTTTGGGGTTTTTCCACAGTAATGAAAATTACGATTTCAAGACAAATGACATTTTTCTCTTTCTGTTTTGCATCAGTAACACTCCTTCTCTGCTTTCTGCTCATCTCCAACTTCTGCATAAAGTGATGGAAGAAAAGGAGGAAAACCCAAGCTACCCAATTAAAATCAAATTTTATTTGTTTTGCTGACAAATTTTGAATGGAGCGCAATGTTCTTTTTCATTTTATTCATTGACTTAAACCCACCAATTTTTCTTTTATGTCATGCTTAACCATTCACCTACCTTCCTCAAACGGTCCTGGCTGGTGAAAAGCTGCTTATTTTGGCAAAAGTTGAAATGTAGCCCTTGTGATTTTTGTACAAGGTTATAACACAGAGGAGTAGGAGAGTCTGTAAGTGCTACAGCTTCTGAAGCACAGAATCTCAGCCAGTTGAGGACAACATTTGCAGTTCAGGCATTGGAGCTGGAACATGCCAGACAGGGGCCCGGGTGCCAAACCTCTTGAATCTCC